AAAAAAAAAAAAAAATAGAAGAAGAAAAGCCCCGATGCTCATACACAGTTTCCAGTCAGCTTTTAATGTTAAATATGGAAGCCACATGACCAGACATTTGAGGAAAGCCTCTACATAAAGGCAGAAGCCAAAGTGGAAAAAAGAGACTAAAAAGGAACTGGCAAAAACAGATAATACACCATATATATATATTTTTTTTTTTAATAGCACAAAACTGTGCTTAATAGTTAATGCAAGTTGAGTATCCTTTATTTGAAATGCTTGGGTCTAGAAGTGTTTGGATTATTTGTTTTTTCAGATTTTGGAATATTTGTACATAATGAAATAGCTTGGTGATAGTACCCAAGTCTAAACACAAAACTCATTTGTGTTTCATAGATACTTTATAGACATAGCCTGAAGGTAATTTTCTATAACATTTGAAATAATTTTGTACATGAAACGAAGTTTGTGGTAAGCGCTTACGTGTGGAATTTTCCACTTTTGGCATCCTGTTGGTGCTCAGAACTTTCGGATTTTGGAGTTTTGTATTAGGGATGTTCAGTTTGTATCCAGAGATAAAGGAAAAGATATTGCCACCTTGAAACAAAAGTATAACTATTTTAAAAATTGAGAGAACAAAAAGGATATCTTTAAAGTATGAGAGCAGGAATTTAAAAAAATTAATGGAAGTGATAGTGAAGCTGAAGAAATCCCACTAGAGGGTCAAAAAGACAATAGGAGAGAAGAAATGAGAGAAATAAGAGATGTGGTGAGGAAATCCAACTTCTGAATCATAGGATTTCTAGGAGAGTTGAATAAACATAAGAGGAAGTTGTCATCAAAGAAATATTTTTAAAATTCTAGAACTGAAGGATATGAGTTAGAAGATTGAAAGGACTCGCTATGCCCTCTATAAATAATGGGGGTGAAAATCACCAAAGCATATGAAATTTTAGAATCCTATGGATAAAGAGTAGATTCTAGGCCAGGAGGCACAGGAGCTCATACCTGTAATCCCAGCATTTTGGGAGGCGGAGGCAGGCAGATCACCTGAGGCCAGGAGTTTGAGACCAGCCTGGCCAACATGACAAAACCCCATCTTTACTGAACATAGAAAAATCAGCTGGGCATTGTGGCACATGCCTGTAATCCCAGCTACTCAGAAGGCTGAGGCTTGCGAATCGCTTGAACCCGGAAGCAGAAGCTGCTGTGAGCTGAGATCGCACTAGTTCACTCCAGCCTGGGTGACATAGTGAAACGCTCTCTCTCTCTCAAAAAAAAGTAGATTCTAAAAATTTACCATATAAAGATACATATATAAAAAGAAACGTATCTCAGAACAGCATCAGGTGTCTTACATCAGATTTCTCAGTGGTAGTGCTAGAAACTAGAAGGCAAGCTACGAAGACATGGGGTCCAGCAAACAGGAATCCTACACAGGAAAATAGTGAAGGAATATCTCAAGGTGATGACAAATGGAAGCTGTAAGATGACCACTATATAGCAGGCCTAGAAAGCAACTATTCCAGGAATAGGATAGAACAGGAGGGGAGAGCTCCAGAAGGGATGTGCCTTAACGACAAATAAAAGGTAAATTACCTGATAGGGTTGATTATGTTGAGAGAAGTTTTTTGCCTCTAGTAGAAATTTAGAGGATGACTTTCTGGTAGAGTGACCTGTCGTGTGGTCTTGACCATTGTCCTCCAGCAGTTTTTAATTTCTAAAAATAGGAACAGGGTGGAACAAATGGAAAGAGATCAAACTTCTCATGTCTTTTACAACCTGTAAATAGCAAGAAGTCTTTATAGAACTTTTGAATATAAAAAGAAAAGAACAAATAAACAAATTAAAATTTCTTCAGAGAACCCACCACTGCTCTGGGGTCAGTTTCCTAAAGGTGACATATATTTCAGACAATTTTTTTTTTTTTGAGAAGGAGTTTCATTCTTGTTGTCCAGGCTGGAGTGCAATGGCGTGGTCTGGGCTCACTGCAACCTCTGCCTCCTAAGTTCAAGTGATTCTACTGCCTCAGCCACCCATGTAGCTGGGATTACAGGCACTTGGCACCACGCCCAGCTAATTTTTGTATTTTTAGTAGAGATGGGGTTTCACCATGTTGACTAGGCTGGTCTCCAACTCCTGACCTCAAGTAATCCACCCAGCTCAGTCTCCCAAAGTGTTGGGATTACAGGCGTGAGCCACTATGCCCAGACAAAAAGACTTTTTTTTTATTACTGTCTTGCTTTTTTGAAACAGGCTCTGTCACCCAGACGGGAGTGCAAGGGCATGATCACGGCTTACTGCAGCCTTAGACTCCTGGGCTCAAGCAGCCATTCCACTTCAGCCTCCCGAGTAGCTTTGACCACATGTGCCTGCCACCAGAACCAGCTAATTTTTTAGTTTTTTTGTAGAGACACGTTCTTGCCATATGGCTCAGGCTGGTCTCAAACCCCTGGTCTGAAGTGATCCTCTTGGTTTTACCTCCCAAAGTGCTGAGATTGTAGGCATGAGCCACCATGCCCAGCCTATTATAGTCTTTTCCCCATTTTTATTTGCTTACTTTTTTTTTTTTTTTTGAGATAAGTCTTGCGCTGTTGCCCAGGCTGGAATGCAGTGGCGTGATCTTGGCTCACTGCGACCTCTGCCTCCAGATTCAAGCAGTTCTCTGCCTCAGCCTCCTGAGTAGCTGGGATTACAGGCACCTGCCACCATGCCTGGCTAATTTTTTTATACTTGTAGTAGACATGGGCTTTCACTGTCTTGGCCAGGCTGGTCTTGAGCTTCTGACCTTGTAATCCACCTGCCTTGGCCTCCTAAAGTGCTGGGATTACAGGCATGAGCCACCGTGCCCAGCATGTTTATTTGCTGAAGTTTTTATAATGAGTTATTAAATTTAGATTTTAGTGATTTGTTGGCTGGGCACTGTGGCTCATGCTTATAATTCCAGCATGGTGGGAGGATCACTTGAGCCCAGGAGTTTGAGACCAGCCTGGGCAACATAGTGAAATCCCATCTCTATAAAAAATAAAAAAATTAGTTCAGTGTGGTGGCATGCATCTGTAGTCTCAGCTACTTGGAAGACTGAGGTGCGAGGGTTGCTTGAGACCTAGAGGTTGTAATGATACTTGAATAAACAAAAATTAAAACTTTAAATAAAATAGGAACAGTCAAAGAAGACAAGAAGGCAAAGAGGACAAGAGTTTTGCAAGGAAAGAGAAGAAAAAGCAAAGAACTTAAAAGGTGGCAAAACATTTAATGCTAAGAGTACTGATCCCTAATCTGTGTTATGTCCTCCTGGAGAAAATTATGTTAAAACCATTTGAGGACTTTTTGCTTATCACACATCATTACTTCCATCCTGATCTCCATGATTCTGATACCTGTCAGAGGTAATTCTTTGAGTTAAGTGAAATATCTTATGCTCCTATGACCCAGAGATAAAGCAGAAATTCCATATGGTTCTGTATTTATCTTAGGTTAACCTTGTTTGTGATTTAGGGCAAGGAAAGTTCCTTCTTGGGATCTCTCAACTAGAGGTTTAAGAGTTTTTGTCTCTTTAATCTTTACATTTTGTGACATCTTTTTAATTGTTGAGTTACTTAACTGAACAAAGACTAACTCCACTTAATTGAGCCAAACAAAATTTTTGCTGACAATTTGTTACTCCTTCCTGTAACATATAAGAGGCCTGTGATTAAGGTGAATAATGTTAAGAATTTTATTTCTAATTTGCTGTTAGCTGAGTATCTTTGTATAATAGTTTTTGGGTCTAACATAGCTGTTTTGTTTCCACAGTGTCTCATGCAGGAGCCTCGATGTCATCTGCTTCATCAGACACTGGAATGAGTCCTTCGTCATCATCTCCCCCACAAAATGTACTTGCTGTAGAATGCAGGTGATAAACGTTTTCTCTGTCTTCCCAGCAGTTTGCTGCCATGGACATAAATCCCCAAACCTGAATTACAACCACAGAAAGCACTCAACTGGTTTGACATTGCTAAGTATATCCTGTATACTTTTCCATGCTGGATTGTATCTATTCCCCTCTCTCTTCTTTTTTCTTGTTGCAAAAAATAAGCTGATAAGTGAAGATTAAGCAGCCTGCCATATTTGTCATAATTTTCCTCTTTACTTTTTTTTTTTCACTTGTTGTGATATAGAAAAAAGGGCACTTAGCAAATTTGAATTTGTATAATAAAGCTTTCAGGTGTTATAGAAATCATAGACAAGCAAGTGCACATGATAAACATCAAAATATTACCTGGCTGAATAGTTACTGCTGCACTTTCACTAAGATGTATTTGAACACTTGGTGAGTAGGGGGTTTATGTTGTGGGGTTTTGTTTTGTTTTTTTTCCATTATTGTTGTTTTTTTTTTTTTTTTGTGGAAGCACTTGCTATTTAGAACTGCCAAAGTATATGTTCAGCAGTGTGCCCAAGATTAAAGGTGTAAATGGGACAAAATAAATTGTGAAAGGAAGTGTAGTTGACTGAAAACTACAGTTGTAATAAGTCTTCCACTTTTTATAGGATTTTTGAGCACACAATTATGCAAATATTTTAATGTTTATTAATGTTTACAGTGGAATTGTGAATAAGTTTTCAGTGGACTATCTTATCCCTTGACAAAAATATTTTGTCTTTTTTCTATGTAATTTCAGAGTTTTTATTTTGTTACAAAAAGACAAAAATGAAATATATAACAACAATGAAGTTATTTAACAAGATTTCTAAAGCTGAAAATTTTGTGTAAAATAAGGTATTATCTTGCAACTTGTTAAATATATTTATTCAGACATTGGATGTTGTATTTTTATGTATTTTTTAAAATATTAATAAAATTGAAAAAAAGAAAATTCTAGGTTAATTCACTCTTTGGATGACAATAGCTCTCAGCTGTCCTTTTTACAGGAGGTTGCATCCTGCAGCCTTGCCTGTGTTGGAGTCTGTCTCAGTCTGTCAAACAGTATAGAACTATAAATGGGCATCTGGATCATTAAAGTATGTCCTTGTTTAGAAACTTTGGCAGTCCTAGTATTTAAACTGTTTTGAGGATCAAATTTTTGGTTGCCCTTAAGATACTTTGTCACAGTCTTTATGTTTGCTATACTGCCGAATGAATTTATATCTCCCAAAGTTGAGATGCAACAACTAAGTAAAGCAACTATGTATGCTTTGTCTGTGAATTGTTCCACAGACTGATACATTTTGTAAATAATTCTTCCAAAATCATGTATTTAAAGCAGTTTTGCATATACATTATGTAAAAAGGTGATTTTTTAAAAGCAATTTTTAAATTCATGTTTGTACATTGAAAGGGGTTTTTTTTTTTAAACCTCCTTTTCTGTGTTTAATATGCTGTAGAATAATAACCTAGATGCTCTAGACTGTATATCAGGACCTGATTTACAAGAAAAAGTCAGAGCTAAACACTAGTGATGGCATAGCATTACTGAAATCATTGTTTCTTAATTTCATTTTACCACATTGTGAACTTGTGATTCAGATTCCTTCCGTTTTCTCAGAGAATTAAAAACAAAAAGAGTACTCTTGTAAAATGCACTTTTCTGTCTTTTCTTTGCAAAGCAGAAGTATTTCAATGTAAAATAAAAATGGAGCTCAGCGGGCAGTATTAATAAAGGCCATGTTTTAAACATAGGCTTTATATTTTTAGTTTTCATTTAAATGATTGCTTTTTTCCTAAGTGCTCGTAACTTAGAGTTGAAAAATCAGATTTCACAAAACCAAGCATTTTAGTATACTTTTCAGCCTTTACAATAAAATATTTCTACTAATTATAAAAATGAAAAAAAAAATGTGTCATTTAAATCCAGTTGGACCTAAGAGGCAACTTTAGATTTATACATTAGATATTTTAATGATTTCCTGCTGTAGCAATTCAATAAATGTGAGATAAATAAATTATCAGCTTGAGTACTGTCCCTTCTAATTGATACAAATTTGGTCATGAAGTATTAGGATGTTGCTACAGAGGACAAAACTGTGTATTCATTGAATTGATACACACTGTTAAAATCCTTTTGTCTGGAGGCTAGAAAGGATTGTGAAATTAAGTGAATATTGACTGGGTGTGATATTTCAAATATTGAGCATATTTTCAGTTTAGCTAAACTTTGAATAGATACCTTTCATATATGAGTAAGAAAGTAAAAATACACACCAGGTGTGGTGGGTCATGCCTGTAATTCCAGCATTTTGGGAGGCTGAGGCAGGCAGATCACAAGGTCCAAAGATGGAAACCATCCCGGCCAACATGGTGAAACCTTGTCTCTACTAAAAATACAAAAATTAGCTGGGCATGGTGGCACGCACTTGTATTCCTAGCTACTTGAGAGGCTGAGGCAGTAGAATCGCTTGAAACTGGGAGGCGGAGGTTGCAGTGAGCCGAGATTGCACTACTGCACTCCAGCTTGGTGACAGAGCGAGAGTCTTTCTCAAAAAAAAAGAAAGTAAAATTATAAAGACACTCTTTAATAGTATAATGGAAATTGCCATCTATAAAATTAAGTTATTTAAAAGATCATAGAGGCTTCTGTTTTAATATTGCATTGCGTGCTTTTATTTAAAATTTATTCAATTTTTGAAACAGGGTCTTGTTCTGTCGCCTAGGCTGGAGTGCAGTGATGTGAACTCCTGTGCTCGAGATCCTCTCACCTCTGCCTCCTGAGTAGCTGGGACTACAGGCATGTGCCACTACACCTGGCTAATTTTTAATTTTTTGTAGAGACAGGGTCTTGCTATGTTGCCCAGGCTGGTCTTGAACTCCTGAGCTCAAGCGATCCTTCTGCCTTGGTCTCTCAAAGTGTGAGGATTATAGGCATGAGTCACTGTACCCAGCTGGCCATTATGTACTTTTATTGTTTTTTTGTGTTAAATTTCTAGTTTTCCTCTTTCATTAAGAAAGATGGTTGCACTTAGCACATTAAAAGACTATTACATACTATGCCTTCTATGAAATTGCTTTAAATTATGAAAATCTATATGGATTGCCCAATTAATTTGCTTGTACACTTTTCTTATAAGCCCTGTGTTTTAACAGCTATCAAAATTGTGAAACCATTCAAAGCTATATTCAACCATATATAAAAACTATTAACATTATTCATTAATTACTGATTTATTGAGTATCTTCTATGTGCCAAGCATAAGCTTAAGGCCCAGGAGCCACAACAGTGAACAAGACAGAAAAAAAGTCCTTTGCTTCATGGAATGTATAATCATGGTATAATAATGTGGTAGATGTTAAACTGTTAACATGTAATTATTATTTTTTATTACAGTCTGCTTATCCAAACTCGTGTAATTCTTAAGTACAGGCATAATAGGCATATGAAGTTATGGTGTGCCATGAGATAGTGATACAGAGCCCACTCGTTTGAGGGCAAGGGTGGTCGGGGAAGGCTTTGCAGAGAAAGCAGCAGAAAAACCGAAGACCAGTGAAGATTATGAACTGTCTGGGGAAGAAGGAGAGATATGGAGAGTATAGTGTTCTAAGCACATGGAGGAGGGGAGATTGGTAGAAATGATCCAGGTAATGAGCCAGGGTAAGAGTAGATCTGATGCAGGATCCAAGTCTGTCAGGGCCAGTCAGGCACTGCTCAAACCTTGAACCTGCCCATTTGTCCCTTTTGCTCCTGTTTGCCTACCAGTCTCAGCTCTACTTGTCAGGAGCTGTCTCAAGAGCCACTTTTCCATGAAGCTTTTGCTGACTTCTCATTACCACCAGAATAGTGCCCTCTTTTATGCTGTGTTGGCTTTTTAATCTGTGTTATTTTACTTGACAATTTACCTTATGTTTACTTGTGCATGTGAGTTTCTGCCATACTAGATGATTCAGATCTTAAGCGCTCCTAAGTCATAGATGTGTAAGTAAAAAGCCAGATACTTGTTTGTTTTGTTTTTTAATAAAGACAGGGTTTCACTAAATTAATGGTCAGGCTGGTCTCAAACTCTAGACCTCAAATAATCCACCCACCTTGGCCACCCAAAGTGCTGAGATTACAGGTGTGAGCTGCCTAAAGCCAGACATTTAAAAGAGGTGCTTAGCGTGTTTTTTTCTTTGTTTTTGTTATTTTGAGATAGTGTCTTTACATTTCACTACTGTCACCCAGGCTGGAGTGCAGGGGCACAATCATGGCTCACTGCAGACTCTGTTTCCCTGGCTCAGGTGATTCGTCCACCTCAGCCTCCAAAGTAGCTAGGACTGCAGGCATTCACCACTCTGCCTGGTTAATTTTGTTATATTTTTAATAGGGATGGGATTTCGCCATGATGCCCAGGCTAGTCTTTGAATTCCTGGGCTCGAGCAATCCACCTGCCTTGGCCTTCCAAAGTGCTGGGATTACAGGTGTGAGCCATTGTGCCAGCCAAGGTTCTTTTCTCAAAAAAGTAATAATGTTAAAATATCATTTGAAAAGTGTCAAAGTAGACTTGTTTAACACTCTCATTTTAAAATATTTCTAAATTGATGAGCTGTTTTTCCTTCTCCTTGTTTGTTCTTCCCTCTCCCTGTTTGTTCTTCCCTCTCCCATTACTTTCAAGTGGTTAGACACAGACTTATCATATTAAAGGAAGAATACAGTAAGTGATGACATCCATCATTAGTGAAGGTTGGATGATTCTTAGAATGGAGTTTGTCCTAATGAGAAATTTGTAACAATGCATGCTTAATGTTTTCATATAAATTTTTTAGTCCTTTAAATTTTATTACAAAATCAAATGATGTTTTCCATATTGACAAGCACAGAAAAACTTTTTTTATTCATATAGATCCATTATGTTATCTCTTTAAACAGGTAAGGGCAGTGTTTATAATTTTGGTATTTGTAGTTAACATAATTATGAAGCTATCTTCATTTTGTAATCTGTGTCATACAGAATACATGTTGAAAAGTTCTATTGTGAAAAGCTTAAGGAACTTCCTCGTAGATTTAATAAATGATGATTCTGTACAAGTACTTGGATTTCTTCTCAAGGCTAAATTACATTAAACAAGACAATCTGATTCAAGAGTCTCATCAGTTTAGGGTTGCCAGAGTGAGCAAATAAAAATACGGGATACCCAGTTAAATGTGAATTTCAGATAACGGATAATTTCTTCATATAAGGACATTCCATGTAAAAATGGTTGTTTATTAAAACTTATACTTAGGCTGTGCGCAGTGGCTCACACTGGTAATCCCAGCATTTTGGGAGGCTGAGGTGGCTGGATCACTTGAGGTAAGTAATTCAAGACCAGTCTGGCCAACATGTAAAACTCTGTCTCTACAAAAAATACAAAAATCAACAGGGTGTGATGATGCATGCATTCCCAGCTACTTTGGAGGCTAAGGCAGGAGGATTGCTTGAACCTGGGATGCAGAGGTTGCAGTTAGCCAAGATTGTGCAACTGCACTTCACTAAGGCAATAGAGCGAGACTCCATCTCAAAAAAAACAAAAACCTCACACTGAACTGGGTGTCTTGTATTTTATCTGTAAACTCTATACTAATTGACCTTATGCAGTACTATAGTTGACCTAAATGCAATACTATTCAGTGAGTAAAATGAATGGACTGCCGCTAAATGTATCAACATGGCTCAAATTTCAGAAACAAATGAGTAGAAGAACATATTTATTATCTGTAAAGAACTTTTTGGTCCCAGATGGAGGGTAACAAATTGCTCAGGTTTCTCTTGGTTTCCAGGGATGAATGTATGTGGGCAGCCCATGGGTGATTTTTTTTAATTGCATTTTAGGTTTTGGGGTACATGTGAAGAACATGCAAGATTGTTGAATAGGTACACACGTGGCAGCGTGATTTGCTGCCTTCCTCCCCTTCACCTATATCTGGCATTTCTCCCCATGCTATCTCTCCCCAACTCCCCACCCCCCGCTGTCCCTCCCCTATTTCCCCCCAACGGACCCCAGTGTGTGATGCTTCCCTCCCTGTGTCCATATGTTCTCATTGTTCAACACCCGCCTATGAGCGAGAACATGCAGTGTTTGATTTTCTGTTCTTGTGTCAGTTTGCTGAGAATGATGGTTTCCAGGTTCATCCATGTCCCTACAAAGGACACAAACTAATCGTTTTTGATGGCTGCATAATATTCCATGGTGTATATGTGCCACATTTTCCCTGTCCAGTCTATCATCATTTTTTTTTCTATAAGTTTTTGGGGAACAGGTGATGTTTGGTTATATGAATAAGTTTAGTGGTGATTTCTGAGATTTTGGTGCACCCATCACCTGAGCAGTTACACTGTACCCAATGTATAGTCTTTTTTTCCTTCATCCCCCTCCCACCCCTTCTCCTAAGTCCCCAAAGTCCAGTGTATCATTCTTATGCCTTTGCATCCTCATAGCTTAGCTACCACTTATGATTGAGAACATACAATGTTTGGTTTCCCATTCCTGAGTTGCTTCACTTAGAATAATAGTTTCCAAGCTTGGTGCAGTGGCTCACCCCTGTAATCCCAGCACTTTGAGAGGCAGGTGGATCACCTGAGATCAGGAGTTCGAGATCAGCCTAGTTAACATGGTAAAACCCAGTTTGTACTAAAATTATAAAAATTAGCCAGGTGTGGTGATGCATGCCTGTAGTCCCAGCTACCTAGAAGGCTGAGGTGAGAGAATTACTTGAACCCAGGAGGCAGACGTTGCAGTATGCCAAGATCACAGTAAGCCAGGATCACACCGCTACACTCCAGCCTGGGTGACAGAACAAGACTATGTCTTAAAAAAAAAAAAAAAAAAAAGGATAATATTCTCCAATTCCATCCAAGTTGCTGCAAATGCCATTATTTCATTCCTTTTCATGGCTGAGTAGTATTCCATAGTGTGTGTGTGTGTGTGTGTGTGTGTGTGTGTGTGTACCACAGTTTATCCACTAGTTGATAGGCATTTGGACTGGTTGCATATTTTT